GCAAATATACAGAATATGAAGTTCATACGTTTTGTACACGGCAATGAAGCGTTAAGACAATTACAGTGACAAAAACCTTCAGAACAGAATACTCGTAAGAAATTTTCCTTTTTTCACCGAGTTTGAAAAAAGGCGAGGTTATTTTTTTTATACAATAAATAAAATCTAGCGTAAAATATTAATCATTTGATCATTTTGATGACAGTTTTACAGTTGTACTAATGGAGATCATTCATTTCTTTCAATAGTAATTGCAGTTTCAGTAACATTGTTACAGGATACAGATCGGGACTGAAGTCTCTCTGTGGAAGCTGATGACTCTGAAGATAAAGATTCTTCATCTTCAGCTTTTGGAGCTGTCAATTTTTTTTCTTCCTCCTTTTTTGGTTGCATCATTTGTGCCGATTGTTGGGGATTATGCTTATCCTCCCAGTAAAGAATACTAAAGCATATACAGGAACAAATAAATAAACCCATTAAAACTATGGTGACGATGGAGATTGCAACAAAGGTTGCCATATATGTGACCTGATCGCAAAAGTCACTATCACCTTCCAGAGTAAACTGTACAATACCATAGGACCTCAACACCCAGTAAAGACCTGTAAATGAATAAAATCAAACTAATGTTCCAATGATGATCCAGTTCAAAAAAGTTGTAGCATTTATTTGTCAACAATAACTTTTACTTGAAAAAAAAAAGTTATTGTATTATTTGACAACAAAAAAACTTACCGAAAAGGTAAAGCATGAGGGCAAGTCCGGCAAAAATCCAATCAACTGGCGAAAGTTCAGCTTTATAAGCTGGTTTTTCGATACTAGGCTTTCCAATACAAATGTTTCGAATTTGAACTATCAGATCAATAAAATATTTGATAATTAGCAATGCTCCCATCCACATTAGCCATTTTGGTAAATATGGTTCTGCTGGGCATCCGTCATAGTTTAATAAACCAATTAAGATCATTGACAACGGTATTACATTTAGCATTGCCCGGAAAGCCATCCAGTATGCTGCAAAAAAAAAAAAAAAACCATCGTTAAGAAGCCGTATAAATCTATATTTTATGAAAAAGTTGAAGACAGAAAAAAGATGGAAAGTCAAAAAAAAAAGTGGGTGATTAAGGAGGATTAAGGAAGATCGGAGAAGGTTGAAAAAGGGATGAGTAAGTTTAAAGTGAGAAAAACTGCTCGAGATAGGTTTTTCGCTCGTTTTTTGCTTACCTAAACTTCCTTATTACTTCAGAAAAAATGACTATTTTTCCATAACTGATTAATTCAAATTTTTTTCTGTTTAGCTTATTTTTTCTGTTCAGTTTAATCTCTCTTTTTTTTTTTTTTT